TTTAAGAAAGCTATAAGTTTAAGAGACTCCGGGGCTCTGCCAACATTCCCTGAAACCTTTCTTTCCTTTCATTTTTGGACTTAAGAATTTGGACTCTTGCATTTGATCAAGGTACCACACTCTTACTTAAATCTTTAATAAGTGTCATGCTGCAAAAGAAGCATCAACAGATCCCCCAGTCACACCCCTACAAAGTCTGGGAGAATAACTCCTTTTAACCTATTACTTAAAAAAAGAAAAAAGGACGTCCTTCTTCACCCAAAGAGTGATTAACACTTGGAATTCACTGCCACAGGAAGTGGTGGTGGCTACAAGCATGGACGGCTTCAAAAGGGAATTAGATAAGCATATGGAGCAGAGGTCCATCAGTGGCTATTAGCCACAAGGTATAGATAGGGACTCTGGGGCAAGTGATGCTCTGTCATCTTGGTGCTTGGGGGGGTCAACAGTGGGAGGGCTTCTAATGTCCTGGCCCCACTGGTGGACCTCCTGATGGCACTGGTATTTCTGGCCACTGTGTGACACAGAGTGTTGGACTGGATGGGCCTTTGGCCTGATCCAACATTGGCGTCTCTTATGTTCAGCTGAGGGCATTTGGGGAAGGCACCTAATAGCTGGCACCACTAACTGCAGAGGGGCAGAACGAAGGCAGGCCATGCATCTGGATGCTGGAGGCGACTTGACATACCTAGTCCCAAAAGGCTTAGGGCTCAAGCCCAGGGTATAAATGAGAAAGAGTTCAAAAAGGCCAACTTTTTAAATGCCACCAGCTCCAGTTTAAGCCTTTCTTTGAGAAACTCCTGGCTCTTGGTGTTCACCTGGTTATCATTCAGGACTAGGGGTATTCAAGAATTTTTTTTTTTTTTGATTTGGGTATATTGGACCTGGAAAAAAAATCAGTATTCCCTGATATTCCCGAAGCCCAATACCTGTATGGTATTCTGATTTGGTATTATTACAGAATCCTGAATTTTTTTGGGGGGGTCCATTAGACCCTATGGGGATCATTTAGTCAATGGTGAATCTATCCTGGGGTATATTCAGTGGTGGTGGGGGGGGGGGGGTTGAGGGAGAGGCACCAAATTTGCAGCCTAGCTGCTGGAGCCTCTCCTAAAAAGAGCCCCCACATTCCAAAAAGATCGGACCAGGGGCTTTACTGATGATCTGCAGACCAAAACGTAAAGCAGTTCTGTCATCGTGAAGCAAAACTGGGATACTGTGATTGGCCAAATGGGGGGTGGGTGACAGAGCTCACTGAAGGAGGTCAAAAGACCATTCCTAGACGGGCTGAACAAAAACGGGCCAAAAGGCAGCTCTGTGTAACCCCTTTATCGAGATTAAATGGCTCAGTCAAGTCACCGCCATAAGCACAGCTGAGCTGAGCTCTTAAGGTCTGCACGAGTCACAGCTGCCTTTTTATCAATCGTGGTGCCTTTCCCCAAGTCTTGTCCCAAGTATGGTTTCAAAAGCCACTTTCAGATCATTGAGTCCTATGTAAAGGGAGCCATTTGGGAAATGAGTACATTTTTCTACCAGGTGGTATAAACTAGGCAGTGGGCCAAAGCTGAACTACCCCTTCTGAACCCTGTCTGTTCCTGACCCAAAATGTTACCTTGTTCAAGCCAATCAGTTAACGCACCCAGCAAATATGAATAGTTTGCCCAAGCATGATACTAAGCTAACTGGGAGGTAGCAGCTTGGGTCTTCTTAAAGACCCTTCTTAAAGATCGGAACGATTATTGTGCGCCTCCAAAATTCTGGGATGTTTATTTGTGAAACAGCAGAGCGAGGATCTCTGTCCACCCAGATGGATTTAACTGGGATCATTCATTTGGGATAAGGTCTGCTCCAGGGGCCTTCCCTGAGAAGGGGGTCACCTCAGGCCAGTCTGGAAGAGGGCCAATTGGTTCAAACAGGAATAGCAAACGGGCTTTAAGAGTATGACTCCCAGACGTCTAATTGAATGCAAAAGGGAATACTGCCATCTGTTCTAGTGCCCATAACGATAATTGCCAAGTGAGAGACACTGTGCATTAAACTTTGGGCATTGGTTTTAAATGCTCTTTGGGAGGAACTGAGCTTGTGGGTGGCAGGCAATGTTGATGTCAAAGCACCCTGGACTACTGAGATGTCCCTGGCACATCTTGGCAGCTGAGGTGAGCAACAGCCAAGGCATTACAATTTCTCAGTATTCCAAGAGTTAACCCATGCAGAAATGCACGTGTACGGTCTTAGGTCTGCTAATAAATACTATGATTATTTTTTTTCTCAGCGCACCTTTAAAAACAACATATTTAAGAAGCCTTGCTATTCCCCTACCCACCGTAAATTCACACATTAAGCCCAGGTTGTTTTTTTTTTTTTTAATTGAAAATGAAATTCCTTCATGATGTTTGAAAGTGTCGTCTTCTCTGCTTTTCTTCTGTTGCTCAGTTAAATGCTGGCAAGCTGCCGCTACTGGATCCAGTTTACGATTGCTAAAAACGTGATCGAAGATGACGGAAATGATATCTCAATTTGTTCTTAGTGGCACGGGACAGGACAGGAAGATCCAAGTTCGATAGGGAAGCGGGCAGCTAGAAAACTGCGGTCTAGGCTGCTGAGACCGCGGCCCTTAGCAGCAGTTCTGCTGTCGGAAGGGACTATAACAGAGACAAAGAACTGGCTCTAAAGAAATGAGATGCTCATGATGGAGACCACAGTGGTGGCCACGGATATCTGGAAGGGGAATGTTCAATCACCACTGTATTATAATAGAGCCCTCCGCTCTCCAGGGTTCAGCTGGGTCATTACGCACACAAATGGGAGTTTCCTCACGGAACTCAAACTTAGTTCTCACCAGTGTTCCCTCTAAGCTGAGTTGGTGTGAGCTAGCTAGCTCACAGTTGTTTAGCCTCCGGCTCACAGATTTTTGCCTTCGCTCAGGAAGGATGGCCTCAAAGCAAACTAATTTATACAGCAACCTAATGGCTCGCTCACAACTTTAATGCCCACAGCTCACAAAGTAGGATTTTTGCTCACAAGACTCCACAGCTCAGAGGGAACATTGGTTCTCACATCCGTTTGTTAACTCTTGTACTTGTATGCTGATTTGCTGCCTTTCACAGGTCTTGACTGCTTTAATCCAATCTCAGACATACTTATCACCCAGTTACTTATGTATCTTAACTCTAACTAGCCCCTCCTGGCAACCCCCTCACCTATACGCAAGGCTTGAGGAAAACTCCTTCAATGTACCTGATGAAGTCTGCGTGCACACAAAGGCTTATACCCAGAACTAAACTTCACTGGTCTTAAAGGTGATTCCAACTTCGCTCGATTGCTTCAGACCAACACGGCTGCCCACTCGAGCTAGAGAGTGATCTTTACAACTGCTTCTCACCTCGTCATCCTGTGCAAGTCCACGAAGAGGTGGGATGCAGCAGCCGAGGGGCAGGGGAGGCTGGACGGCCACATTGCCGCAGCATCCCAAGGTGGTGAGGCAGAGACACACCACCGATATAGAGGACTGTCCTGACGTGCCACAGGAGGAGGAAATGGGCGTTGCAGAGGACAGCAGTGGGAAGCCAGTCCACAGAAAGGGCCAGAACCGGGTCACTGCTGACACCCTCTGAAGAGGACAATAACTACTAACCTCTGACTCACGCTGTAATTGTCTCTGAAATCGTGTTTGCTGGACATCAAATTCAAATGATTTTTTCCCCTAAAGAGCGTCTGACAAATGTTGTAAGAGTTTATTCATAGTTGCATAAGAAAAAGAAGAAGAAGAGATTGGATTTATACCCCGCCCTTCACTTGGAGACTCAGAGCGGCTTACAAACTCCTTTCCCTTCCCCTCCCCACAACAGACACCCTGTGAGGTGGGTGGGGCTGAGAGAACTCTGACACAAACTGCTCTTTTTCAAGGACAGCTGTGCCAGAGCTTGTGACTGACCCAAGGTCACATCAGCAGGTGCGAGTGGAGGAGTGGGGGAATCAAACCCGGTTCTCCCAGATTAGAGTCTGCACACTTAACCACTGCACCAAACTAAGCCAGAAAGAAGAGCGTTCTCTGGGGAAGGGGGCAGCTGGAACACCCGAAGCTGCCTTATACTGACTCAGACCTTTGGCCCATCAAAGTCAGTATTGTCAACTCAGACTGGCAGCTGCTCTCCAGGGTGTCAGGTGAAGTCTTTCGTATCACCTGTCACCAGGTCCTTCCAGTGGGAGATGCTGGGGACTGGACCTGGGCCCTACTGCGTGCCAAACAGATGTTCTACTACTGAGCCATGGCCTGTCACGCACCGCCCCCCCGCACAGACTCGGGAGGGCTCATGAGAGGAAAGAGAGATGGGCAGACAGCAGCTCGGCCATTTAGGATTTTCATACATCTCCAGGCTGCTCAGAGGGAGTTGTTGCAGAAACAGAGCCAACAGCTGAGGCATCTTCGCCCGCACTGATCATTCCAGAGGGGGAGCCATGTTAGTCTGTTGTAGCAAAATCAAACAGAAATCCAGGTGCCTCTAAGACTGACACATCCCATGGCAAACACATGGGGTAGACATCCGCAAGACATTATGGATCTCTTGCAGAGGTACGCAGCATGCCTCTGATGGAGTGAGCTCTGATCCTGAAATACATTTTGTTAGTCTTTTTAAGGTGACACTGGACTTTTCTGTTTCATGTTATTCAGCTAGGGGTACTGAGAAAAATTAGAGGAAAGCCACGGCAAGTGCTAGTAAATACCAACCCCATTCCCCCCCCCCACATACGGATGCTCGTGTGTCTTCCAAAGTAAACCTACCTGCTGCACCTAGGTGTGGGCGTAATTACACCGACTTAGGGCTCTCTGAAGCATCCTGTTCTCAGTAGTCCTCTTAACTCCTCCAAGAAAAAGGGTCTAAGCATAAAGGTGACCCTGAGGTGGTTTCACAGTACAGTACAGGATTTCAGGGGTCCCTCCAGTATGTCACAGTATCTTACACCAGTGTTCCCTCTAAGCTGAGTTAGTGTGAGCTAGCTCACAATTTTTTAGCCTTTTAGCCTTCACACTTTTGCCTTGGCTCAGGAAAGAGGGCTCCAGAGCTAACTGATTTATGCAGTAGCCAAATCACTGGCTCACAACTTTAAAGCCAGTAACTCACAAAGCAGAATTTTTGCACACAAGACTCCACAGCTTAGAGGGAACATTGCCTTACACCATTCCTTGCAAATTGGCACGAGACTCATGAACCCAGTTTTTCTTAATCTTCCCAGCTGCAATTCTTCCCCCGTATTTACCTCCTAGTGTGAATAGATGCAACTCTCCCCTCAGCTGTCTCACCATCAACCGCAGTTTTTTCCTGCCCTGTACCCCCAAACACCCAGTCCTCTTTGGAAGCCTATATTTTAGCATGGTACCTGATGGTCACGTTTTCCCAATCGCCTTTTCCTTAAAGGCAACTTCAACACAACGAAACCAATTGTTTATAAAAAGCTCTTGGGGGATATTGACATCATTAAAAAAATTATTTCTTGATGAAACCCAAGCAACTTAGATCTTCCTGTGCAAACCCACTTCCAGGCAATGCTCCAAAATAGCGAGTTACTTTCAACGCATTTGTCCTTTTGCTGCATAGCTGGAGAAAAAAAATGTGCTTCCTTGAAAGCCAAGAGATCACTGACTGGATTAAGGCATTCTGTAAGAAGTCCTCAGAATCGACGTGCACCAGCGAAGCTCATCTCCCAGTCTGCAGGCTGCCCGCGAGAAGCCCTTTCACTTCGTCCACGCGGCTCTTGTGAATCTGGAAGGCGGGGGTCACCCAATGGCCGCAGGAACACTGTTCACCGTGCCAGTGGAAGGAGCCCAACTTGGAGGAGCACTTGGGGCACAGGAGCTGCAAAAGGACACAACCAGACATCAGGCACACGCAAAACGTTCTTTGCCTGTCAACTGCCTCCACCCTCGGATATGGAAGGTTCAGGACAAAACGTTCTCAGAGATGGGGGCTCTGGAACCAAAGCTGGTCACGATGAGTTCAGCTCACTATGAAACTTGCCCCTTCTGTAGCGTGAGCCTCACGGAACCATCTCTGTCCAGAGACTCTACCCATCGTTTTCGTGGCTCCATTCTCTCCTTGCCCACCACCTGTTCAGGTATGGCGTCTCAGCTCCATTCCCTTTAGCCAGCGAGACCCCTGCCCTCTCCTCACTTGGCTTTCTGGCTCTCGGGACCTCCCCGCCTTCCTTCAAAATCCATACACCCATGTTACATTGAAATAACAAATAATATGTTGATATTGGCCCAAAAAAGGAAAGTTCAGCAGCAAGGTTAATAGAACATCTTCCAATTCTGGTCCAGAAAATACCTATGTGACTATCTAATCAGAGCTGTGCATTTGGGCACCTGACACGTGACTCTCATCTTCAGAGGCCTCATAAACATCCTGGTCTTGTGTCTATTAATCTTGCTGCTGAACTGTCCTCTTTTGGTTCAGTATCAGCTTATTGTTATTTCACTGTAACGTGTACCATGTATCAGGCTTCTTTCTTACCATCGCGGTTCTTAATTCCAGGTATTGGGTCGAGTTTGGTTCCCCTCCCTGTGTCTTACGACACTCGTAAACCTGGCCCTTTCCGTGGGCAGAGAACCAATGAAGTCCGCCCTCCTTCATAGGCCAGTCTTCAAAACCCAAGAATTGCCCGGAGCACCTTCCGACCATCACTTGTGCGAATGCTTCCCTCACCTGGCCTTCCAGCACTCCCAGCAGGGCTGGCTCCATCCACTGTACAGGCTCGACAAAATAAGAAGTGCAAGCAGATGGACCGGCGCGTTGAAAAGAGGCATGGTCCGGGAGTCTCTTGTGCGCAAAAGCGGCGGGCCCTTTGCCTTCTGTGTGACTCAGAACGCTCGAACTCTGGAAGAGCAGACGCCTGGCCTCCGGGAAGAAAGCAACACAAAAATTGAAAAGGCATTCATCGTTAATGGCATGCGGCAGTAGGAGAGAGGTTTGTTCTTTCGCATGTATTTATTAAAACGTTTTAGATATGTGCATGCGCACACTATCCGTAACACCTGCTGTTTATCTATGTCAAAACATGCAGCAAAGTAAAAAGAAAAAATGGGAAAACACAATAGAGATGAGAACAAAAAGAGAAAAGCAAAAACATAGTATCTATAGCACATTTTGTTCCTTTTCACACTTCGTAGGATATAAAAAACGCGCCACCAAGAAGTATGACCTCCATAAAGCATGTCTACATGTAAGCTCAAACTTCTCTTGATCCCGTGTTACTTCTTGTGTACATAATGAGGGATGATAACACTTAGATCTGAATTTTTAAAAATTTTATGGGAAACCATAAAACTTGGAGCCTCTTAGCCATGATGGTTGATCTAACTGGCAATGCTGCAGCTCTCAGACTTTCCCAGGGATTCAGGATCGGGCTCGAAAGTATTTACCAACAGCAGAAGGGCTGCTTGCCAACACTAGATTAACCTGTGTGATCAAGCCAGAAGCAAAGCATCCCTTAACAGGCACAAAATGGGTTCTTAGAGCCCGAGTGGGCAACATGAATCACGTTCAGAACACTGGAATCAGAAAGGCTGAGACTGTAATCGCCCCATAAGTGGACAATTGCCCCCCCCCCGAAGAAAGGGACAGACACAAGATTGGGTTTACCGAAGGGTGACTTTATTTACAATGTACACCTTTTTTGTGGCAAGGGTCAGCCCTGAGTTCAGAAATAGGCCGAGACCACCTCCTTGCCATATGTTGGGCGAGCCACCTTTGCCCGGGGGTGAGCCATCCCTCTGACTCACCCCCGACCGGCATAGCAAACGGGTGCTGCCCTGGAGCACACACACCCCCAAGCCGCAAAACTCAGAGGGGAAGTAGCCTAGCCAGAGCGGCCCCAAAGACAGTCCTAATTCCCAGCCCTGGGCTGCAAAACTCGAAGGCTGAGCCTGGCAGACTCCTCGATCCCCAGCAGGGTCAGTGCCATATGGGTAGGTTTCTCCACATTAACCTGCCGCCCCCAAGGCCAAGCCTCTGTTTAGGAGCTTGCGTCCACTGGGCAGCCTAAAGCCGCCCGCAGCCCTTGCTGCAAGTCCGCCAGAAATATATCATTGCCCTTGTCGGACAGGAGTACCCCGTCTTCCCTGTACAGGTCAACCACGTCGATCCGTATCTCGGGGTGAGGCAAGTACTGGCCCAACCCGCCCACCAACGCATTCCTCAGTTCCCTGTTCACCTTCCGGCGGGCCCTGTCCAGACATCTAGGGTCCCCCACGCCCTGCCACACATGGCGTGGCAACATAGCAGACCACACGATCTGCACCCCGGGCCACCTGCTCCTGATAAGCTCCAGGTCAGCCTTTGCCTGAAGCGCCAGGGCTATCCCTTTCACCAGGCCGAGATCATTTCCACCCAGGTGGATCAACAGGACGTGAGGCGGAGGACCCCTCCTCTCCTTGAACAGCAGTGGGATGAGGCCGGGCCACTTCAAGCCAGGCCGCCCTAACCACTCAACGGACGCAAGCTCACTGAGCCCCAACTGGGAACCAATGGGCTTCTTTTTGGCCTGCAGGGCCGCCCAAAAGATTGCACTGTGGCCGCAAATGGTGATTCTTCGCCTCTCACGGCGGCCAGCCACACCTAGAAAGAAAACACAATTAACAGCGGTGTTAAGCGGACAAACAGAAGACTTGTAGCACTGTGACCTCCAACGCCCCAGCTGTTGAATGGCTGGAGCTGTGTGGCCCATCGCGGCTGCTGGGGGGGGGCGCCCCAATCCAAAAAGAGTGGGTCCCAAACCAAGACGGCCTTGAACCCAACATAACCAAAGCCTGCCTGGTAATTGCCCAAACTGAAATTTTGTCAGGGGGGTGGAGTCACTGTGTCGGAACAGAGCGCCCCTCTCCAAGCCCCTCACCGCCAAGCGTTGCTGGAGTGCCGCCACTGGGCAAAAGTCGACCTCTGCACAAGAGCCTACCTTAATTTCCACCCCTTTTTGATACTGATCGGTTTTTCACTGCCTGAGCCTGACGTGGACGCTGCTCCCCGAAAAGCGAACGTCCTGTAGCAGCAGAGCCCAACCTAACCTGTCACTGCACGATCCCACTACCAACTCACTCACCCGTAGTGCCCCGAAGATGGGCACCAACGCCACGGCATGAAAAAGACATACCTCGTAACCAGTGTTCCCTCTAAGCTGAGTTAGTGTGAGCTAGCTCGCCGTTTTTTAGCCTCCGGCTCACACATTTCTGTCTTAGCTCAGGAAAGATGGCTCCAGAGCCAGCTAATTTATGCAGCAGCCAAATCGCTTGCTCACAACTTTAAGGCCAGTGGCTAACAAAGTTGAATTTTTGCTCACAAGATTCCACCGCTTAGAGGGAACATTGCTCATAATCACTAGCATGAACTGCACCCAAGGCCCCCCACGGACCCCCAAAGGACCATGGGGGGGGGAGAATGGGCTCCCTCTCACCACATGTGACCAGCCTTCCAACTTCTTCTGAAGACAGACGCCACCGGTGGCTTTGCTGAAACCCCATGCCTCATTCAGGAAGGCCAAGGCCGATAATTTACCCTGACGGACCGAAAATTCATGCCTTTACACTTAAGGTCCACACGATACTGCATCAAATGTGTTACCGGTATCAGCCACACCTGATGAAGCCCTACCTGCTGCCTAAAGGACCTGAACTGCTGACCTGCATGCCCATAGGCCCTCCTGGTGCTCTATTGCCCTCTCGGCCTCGCCCCTCCAAGCTCTGGGGGCATCCGGACCAGCTGACAGAACCTCCCCATCCGTTTACAAGGCAGAGCGTCAGCCACCCCATTACTAACCCCGTCACGTGCCTTAGCCATGAAAAGTATATGAAGACGCAGACAAGGCAGGGTAAAAGCCCTTACCAGCGTCATAACCCTAGGGGACTTGGACGTGAGCGAGTTAATCACGTGAACCACCGCTCAATTGTTGCACCAGAAGCGTACAGTATGATCAGCCGGCTCCTCAGACCACAGCCACGCCACCACTACAATGGAGGAAAACTCCAGAAATGGTCAAGTCTCTGGTTATGCCTGCGTCAGCCCACTCAGCGGGCCAATCGCTACACAACACTGACCGCGAAAATATACCCCAAAGCCCAGGGATCCCGCTGCGTCAGATGTAACCTGTAACTCTGCCTCAACTCGCATATCTTTGTGCCAGAATGAAACACCACTGAATGAGCCCAAAAACTCCTCCCACACCTCCGGATCTGTCCTTATGCTACTGGTGACCTATGATGTGGGAGCCAAAGTCCAGCCATGGCATCAGATCATCTCCTCAGTCTCCTACGAAAGGCTCTGTCTGGCACCACCCCCTTGCACGCAGAGTTACGGTGGCCCACCAACCACTGCAGCTCCGCCAGCGTAACCTTCCTTTTCCCCTTAAAAGAAGAAATCCTAGCCTGCAGGTCCTCAATCTCTTCCCTAGGTAACTTAGAAGACTGTCCCCATGTACCTAGCTCCACCACCAAAAAGTCAAGACTGTCCCCTCAGTTTTCTCATGGGCCAATGGGACCCCCCGTTCCCCCGCTAAACTCACAAAACTATCCAGCAACTTGGCACGGTGCCCTGTGGACCCACAAACAAGAAATCATCCAGATAGTGGGCCGTATCAACCAACCCCATCCAGTAGTGCTAAGGCCCACTCCAGGAAGGAACTGAAGCGCTCAAAAACCACATACAAAATTGAGCATCCCCTAGGCAGGGCTCTACCCATGTAAACCTGCCCTTTGAATGCAAAACCCAACAACTCCTTACAGTGGGATCAGATACATCCACAATTGTGGAGGCAGGTTATGTCGCCAGCAAGACCCAATGGTGGGGATCGGTCTGACAGCGGACACATCGGTCCAACAGTGGACACATTGTGAAGCAGCTCCCAAGCAGTTTAGGCACCCGCAACTAGGTCCGCTGCACATCGTTTGATCAGGCTGTGTGTGTTTTGAGGCACTGCAGAGTGGGGCTGAGCTAGCAAAGTGCGATAAGCTGGAGGCTAAAATACTGTGAGCTAGCTCACATTAATTCAGGTTAGAAGGAACACTGGGTATGTCCATATACTGGAACAAGGCCACTGCCCGCCAAGGCTGGGACCGGACTACCACTCCAGCATAAATTAAGAACCCCGGCAACCAACTGTCCCACTCCTCAAGTTCTTCCTTATCCTCCTTCTCCAATTCCCTGAATAGACGGGGGAACACGCCCACGCATTCTCTGCGACACATCTTGCCCCGTGTCGCCAAAGCAATACGATCCCCCAAGGGCATGGCCTTTCATGGAGACCGATTCGTACGTGATCCCGCGTGGGCCAGACTACCCCCAACCTTCCACGGGACCCCTGTGGCTGGGGGGATGGCAAAGAAACACACACACACACACACACCAGGGCACTGGCTGACCCATCCCCCATGCCCAACCAGGATGCCACGCCGGCATGGGCACGCGCGCCTGTGCGGTGGCTGGGGATCCGGAGGCCGTGGGGCAGACCCCAAGGTCCCCAAGGCCACGCAGGCCCGCCAAGGTGCGTTCCGTCATGCTTACCCTCCTCAGCTGCAGGTGCTTCATCCGAAGCCACCGGAATCACAGTGGGCTGCTGCCTCTGTGTCGCCCACTCCACACCTGCCCATGCCTCTCGGTACATCATGCTTGTAGCCAGACTCTCGTTCCCCAACGGCTCACCGCACCTGCCCTCCAAAGCAGACAGACGCGCAAATGCTTCGGCTTGAAACCTCCTATTAGGAGCTTGCCTCGCTTGACTCCCCCCGGAGGCCGACCCAATCCGCTGCTCTTGCGTTTCCAGCCTCTCCAGGACGGCATGCTCGCTCAGCCCAGCCCCCCCCCCCAGTGCCCCCTGGCCTGCCAATTCAGGCGCAGGGCTCGAGGGACCACTGTGCTGTTGCTGAGCCATGGCCTCGCCACGAACGTCAGCTCTGCTGCGCCTCCGCTGCCCGTAGCTCTCCCTCCATGCCACTGCAGAGCTGACGCGTGGGCAACAGCCCTGCTCCTCGGCACGCCTTTGGAGCTCTTCGGAGCTCCCTCCAGCTACGGAGCACATAAAGAGGAACTGTGGGGGCGGAGCCATCCCGAAATCCTGGATGACTCCACCCCTCCGCAACACTGTGACGCAATGTCACGCATTCCCTGCCTCTTCCTCCTTTCCAAGGGAGGCAAAGTTGCCCCTGTCCGCCACCGCCGTCAGGTTCCGCAACCACTAAGAAGCCAAAATTCCTCAATAAGACATCGACACAAATTAGCTCACAGACACAAATTAGCTCGTATTAACCCATCATATAGCCCCATGTGCTGGGATAAGTGTGGTAGCATGGGTAACTACCTACACTGCTGGATTTTTTTGTCCTAATAATCTACCTTTTTGGAGGACAGTTCTGATCCAAATTAAGTCCATTAGTGGCATAGATATTCTCCCCACATCGGAACACTGGTTTTTGAACAGATGGGCTGATCACTGCTCTGCTTTTTCCACCAAAGAAGGAGTCTCCTTAATGATTTTTGCCGCTAAAACTGTCATTGCCAGACACCGGAAAACGACAATGACACCCACTC